GCAATAACCATCTTTACTGATAGCAAAACAGCTCTGCAGCAACTAATAAAACTCAACGGAAACTACCCGACGATCTACAAAAGCATAGACCTTGTCAATCAGCTACAACAAAAGTACAACATAACTTTAGCATGGGTGAAAGGGCACTCAGGCAACAAAGGTAACGAGAGAGCTGATTTGTTAGCACGCACCGCCCCGGTAAGATGTCCGAACTACTCTTTCAGCTCAGTTCCACTAGTTTGGCTGACTAATCAAATGAGAGCGCACACCCTTAAGAGTTGGCAGACCAGGTGGGAAACTTGCCCGAATGGCAGGCTCACTTTTAAGTTTTTGCCTAATGTGCAGCACCGCCAAAACCTATCACACTTAAACGTTTCCTTTAATATGACCCAGCTGTACACGGGTCATGGCAATTTTCGTAGTTACCTTAAAAGGTTCTTAAATAAAACTGACGGACTTTGCCCTTGCTCTAAAAATGCAACAGAAGACCCAGAGCATATCATATACTTTTGTTCCAACTACTCAAGACAGCGAAACGATCTTATTTCAGTCATCCTGTCGGAAAATGAACTTTGGCCATGTGAACTAAAAATCCTTACAGAAAACAAGAAGATACACAAAGCATTAAAAAAATTCGTACAGGATATAAAAATCCTAGATTAGAATCATTTTAATTTTACTAATGTCGGGTGTCAATTATAATGTACTATTATATTTTATGCATATCTCTTTTATATATTGTTATTACAAATAATATTATCATAAGCTTCTTACATGCAGTATTGAATAACTATTTCAAATGTCGGGTAAAATTAAATTGTTAAACTCTGTTAACACTGCTACCTGTTAATAATATAATAATTCTATTTTGTTTCCTATTTCAAAATTAATTAGCAATATAACAAAAATACATATACTTGTCAAAAATATTTAGTTGTAAACTGCAATGCACTGTAACTGTAAATATTAATATTAAGACAGTATTAATTCAGTATAATTTTTTTTTTTCAACGAATTATTTTGCTTTGTATACAATGTACGCATTTGTTAACTTCTTACGGTTTTCTCACTGTAAAATATTTCTTTACCTAAAATTGTCAAAATCATCAGATTTTTATGTAACGTCTACAATGTAAATTTTGAATATAGTTGTATAAATGAAATTTGTATTGAAAATAAAAGAAATACATATTTATGGTCCCCGCAAGGGAGCTGCTCCTGTCTTACCTTTTCTATCTATCTAAATTTCCCCTTCGCCCTAATTTCTCACAAACTTTTCTTCTCATTTCCGTTTCTTTTCATGGGCTATACCTTCGAGTGAGGCCCATCTCTCCTAGCAGACTGTCTTCAGACGTATTGAAATTTTGTAGGCGATCGTAAAATTAATCAATAGTATGGTGTACGAACACTACTGATTTTCCTTTCATTGCTTCGCAGTGTGGTTTGGTTTATTTTATTACGACAACGTAAAAAGTGGGGGATCTGTTACAGTAGGACGTTTTCCGAGAAGACTTTTTATGGGAAACTGGTGTTACAAACGTGAAGAAAGCTCGGAAAACTCAACGTGGCTAGACCGTTCACCAGGCGCGAATCCACGACCAATTACAAATGATCACTACTTTTATCCACTCGGCCACTAGTGGGTGCCGTGCTTCTGAGGAATCTGCAGGTTCTCCGTTGAAAGCACAAACTTTAATTAGTTTCATATTTACAGTCTATTAGTTTAAGTCGGGGCTTCTACTAGGGCAATTCGATTCCGCCTCCAACCTATTCAGGTGTATCCAAAACTATCAATCTAAGACCAAATAGTAATTCGAAGTCATTAAAAGATTTTTTGAATGCCAACTACCCTTAGTCAAACTCTCAAACGTAATCATTTTTAAACACATTGCTCAAAAATTACAATGTTTTCCAGTGGCCCCAAACCAATCTTTTACAAGAAAACATTTTTCCCAAATATTTCCCCAAAGCAACAATGTCTGAAATCAACATTGTACATGGAGCGCCCTATTTCAAATTTTCTTGTGCTCCCATGGAAGTGTAATGCGCAACTGCTATTTTCAGCCAAAACACAAGCGCCACCCCGTATTATATTTACAGATGCATATACTTATGCTTATTTTAACAAGCTTATTGCAATTTTCCAGATGACAAGACAGAGCAGAAAGTAGATAAGAGTGAAGAAAATGTGATAATGAAGTTTCTTACAAATACTTTAGGTCCTGCTCTCGGAAAAAAGTCAACGAAAATAATCGTCACAATTGTTTTCACGGCTTACATAATTGGAGGTGTTTACTGTGTGCAATTTCTGAAAGTAGGAGGAGATATTTCAAAAGTATTTCAACCGACATCACATTCGTTTAAAACTCTAAAATATTCTAATAAATATTTTTCAAGTTTTCCGTATCAGATAAATGTTATCATCAATCAGACTTTGGATTATTCGAATCGAAGTGTTCAGAAGGAAATTGAAACAATACTGAACGATTTCGAAACTGCTCCTCATATGGCTGGTTCGAATTTCACAGAGAGCTGGTTAAAAGAGTATCTGTCCTTTATAAACAGTCCCGTTTCAAAGTTTTCTTTAGCAGGTCTGAATATGAGCAACTCGGATGACTTTTTATATGGTTTAAAGAACGTTTACTTGAACATAAAACCAGCAAGAAGATTTAAACATGATGTATTGTTTAGCAGTGATGGTACCCAAATTGTTGCATCTAGATTTCTCTTAGCAGCTCATAATATAAAAAACGATATGGATAAAACCGTTATTTTGCAAAGTATGTTTAAGGTTGCAGACAATGCCAAGTATCCGGTTTACGTGTATAATTTTTGGTTTATGTTGTATGAGTCATACTTCAATGTAACTTTGATATGTCTACAAACACTGTGCTTCACAGTTTTAATAATGATGCTGGTATTTATGACATTTATTCCTGATGTAAAACTCGTCATAGCATCTGTTTTAACAATTGCTTCAATTCAGTTAGGTATTATTGGTTATATGTCTATAATTAAAGTGAATTTAGATGGTACTTCGATGCTGCTTTTAATCATAAGTACAGGATTTTCTGTAGATTATATGGCACATATATCGTATGCTTATATCAGCTGTACAGAAAAGGATCCAAACAAAAAAATTATAAATGCGTTTCAATTAACAGGGTATCCAATATTACAAGGTGCCCTGACGACATTAATCTGTGTATTTGTTCTATATTTTGGACCGTCGTATCAATACGTGGTAACTTTTAAACTGTTTTCTTTAATGATTATATTTGCTCTTTTTCACAGTTTATTATTAGTACCTGTTGTACTTAGTTGTTTAGATTTATTGGCTATTAAACTGCGCAAAAAAAGGAAAGAAAATGGTGTTTTTGCACTTCAAAGTGCACTGAGTTAAAAATTTACGTTTGTATTCGTATGTTTTAATATAAACGTAAGCACCACTGAATTATACAGTACGGTAGTAAAGTCGCTCCGTAGTGGGCATGGAAACGGAAGGAGCTTCCAGAAAGGAAGTAATGACGTCACAGATAGGCCACACGCCAAAAAGATAACGTCCACAATATATTCTGTGCGATTTGAACACCAAATTATATATGTACTTAGCTAAGTTACATGAGATACTATAGTGTACTTGTATTGATTAAATAGCCAAGGACTGTACACATTAAAATATTTATTTAACTATTCTTGTGTCATAATATTGTTTTTTAAAAAACTTTTAATTTTAGATCCTGGCAACTCAATTATATGAAAAACTTTACGCTTACCAATATATAATTTTGTACACAAATATAACACTATGAGATCAATGTTGCCAAGTCCTTAACTAGCTTTTCCTTGTAAAAACTGCGTATCTTGCATCTTATATTCTTTAGACATTCTATAATCGTTATATAAAGTCAAAAACAAGCATTTTTAATTATTTGTTCCGTGTACAGACATTCTCTATCGCTCGAGCACACATGCACAATTTTTTTTTCTCATTTGTTTATAATTTAACGATAATGAACCTTGGTAGTGTTAAGATTATCCAATTATAAATTATTTACATTAAACCACTCGACCTGCAGCAAAAACAGTGGCAAAATAGATGGAACTTGATCCACAAATCTGATAATATAGCCTACAAAATGAAGTAGCTGTTACCAATCACGTAATAAAAGAAAAATCTCAATTTTTATTTTGTCAAGCAGAAGGACACTGATTACTTGTTTGTGTTACATATTTTTTAATGTTTTCACATTAATATTAATATATGCAACAAAAATTGAGCACTAAGAGCTGAGCCTTGCTGTGTACTTCAGAGAAAAGTAATATTACTAAAAGAAAAACCTTAACTTTAATACGAAAGGTACCGAAAAATATATTAAACCATGAAATTGCATCAAGATCAGACTCGGTACCCCAAATTTCGGAAAGAATGCCCGAGATTAATGAGTAAAAAAGCTTGTTTTATATATACATTAATGTTAACAATACTTCTGATATTGCAGAAACTTTTGTATTATTTGGCAAAGAAGCATCTTCATCGTCTACCAACAATTGAAATACATAATCATTACATAAAACAGAACATACGCTATATGAAAATGTGAATTTTTTCGAATTGTATTCAACTTGAACACTCTTATCTTCTACCGATGATAAAAGGTAAGAGTGTTCAGATGTTCTACTGGAGCTGCATTATTGCATTTATACAATAAATGCAATAATTCCATAAATTCCAGGGTCGGCAACATTTCAGCGGTGTTGCTCCGAACGTAAGTTATAGTGTTATTTTCCGCTGTAATAGAAATATACAAACAAGACATTCGTTTTTAATGTATCACGGCCTTCGATGAATTATGACTTCCATTTAAATGTGTAATTAATAATTAAAACATAATTTTTACTACATTTCTATTCAATCAGAGTGCCAATGAAAATCGTCTCGCGTGCCACGTTTGGAACGAGTGCCATAGGTTGCCTATTGATCTATTCCATTGCTGTTTTTTCCTCTTGGACTACATGCTACAAATAGTGTATCGTTACAAAGTTTACATTTTATGACATTATTAAGCAATGTTGTTTTCTTTCACAATGCTGCTTTCCTTGCTGCCATAGACACAAACATGCCACCATACAGGGGTAAAACCGAATTTTTTTTTCATTTCCCGGCATTTTAGAGCTTCTTGAGTTCAAAACTGTAATATCTGAGGGATCATTTTTTGACTAATCGCCGTACTTTCTATCTGTTATATATATAATTGTCGAGAAAATAAAATTCAAAGCTTCAGTGACTCTCCTTTGGTATAATAATTCTCTAATAGTATCAATAGATGATGCAGTTAAACAGTTTTCATGTTTTACTACCTTATTTAAAACTTTTTAATTTGTAAAGGGATTAATTGGTACAGTTACCATATGATCTAGTTAGCAAGATCTTTGTTTTGGCATTAAATAACTTGCTAAAAAATAATCATTTAAAAAAAAAGATGTTTTCTGCAGACCAATATTACGGGTGTTATACATTTCCCAATTCATAATTTAATCATTGTTGTTTGATGGCTTTAGGTTTTACGCATCAAAATCCACGCTGCTCTATCATGGAAACTGTTGCATTATGGCCCACAACAATGTCTTTTTCTTTCCATGGCTGTTGTTCATAAGAGATTACAGTTAAACGCTTTTAATTTACTTAAAATTAAGCGTGAATGTAAGCGTTGACAACAGAAAACAATGCTCGTTTAATACATCAATGCAAATAACACGTGCGCCAAGATTCCTTGGCGCACGTGTTATTTGCATACACAACAGACTCGCAAAGTCTGTTGTGTACTGAAGTGTTCTAGATCCGCGTGGTGGCGCATCAATCTCTAAGTTGCCAATAGGTGACTTAGAGATTGATGCGCCACCACGCGGTATCTATGTTATGATATTATCAGTAATGACAATAAATACAGTAATTATGAAAAATATAATAAGTTCATCTCATAATGTAAACAATTATTAAGCTCAATTGAACAGAAATTCACTTTTATTTTCTTATTAATAATTACAATGTCATTTTTCTAATATATTTATTATTTTCTATTCCATACCAGCACAAGTTGATCTCAACAGTGTGATAATGTTTACTATGATATATGTTAATTAATATATATACAAGAAACTTTAATTTATTTTAATGGCCTAAACATTAAGTGGAAACTAAAATAATAACATATATACTTAGTGTAGAATTATAATAACAGCATTATATATGTATGACAGTTCATTAAAACTTTCTAATTTATTCATTACTAATTGTGATATTAGATGTGGCTTTCATGTTGAATCTACTTTCGGTCGACTTACTTCCTATTTGCAAAATTCCAGATAAAATTGAGTAAAATGCACTTATTACCTGAAAATATAAATAAAACATTGTTTAATATATTTATTTTTAATTTACGTAGAAGGTTACAAATTGATTTTGGTGTAACAGGATACGGAAACGAAACATATGAGCGATCTACCAAGAAAAGATCCCTGTCGAAAGGACTTTCTACTGGAAATTGGTCCTTATGTAAATTACACGTGAAGAAAACCTGAAAAACTCCACGTGGTCAGGCGGATTGGTGAGGAGCTAACCCGCGATCAACTACTAATTTCAGTGGTTTTTATCTTTCGTCAACTGGTGGATGATTTAAAAATGTTAATGATGTTATTACGATTAATGTTACCTATGGTTCTAAAATGGCCACGCTTCGGTTAGGTTCGTTTCGTTTCGTTAGATTAGCTACATTTTTATTAGACGTTTCCTGTTTTTTTTCTTTATTTATTTTGTTCAAGAACTACCGTAAATTAATAACTAGTGACGTTTGGCACTCGGCGGCCTGCCGGCGGCTCCACTTCGGGAGGAGTCCGTCTGGATCACGAACAGTCGGAAGCGCGGCCATTTTGGAACCATAGGTAACGTTAACCGTTATTACTAATGCGATTTCTAGATAAAATAAGATATTTAATTTTACCGAATTAAATATTTATAGAAAAATCTTAAATCATTACTTTTCTAAAATTCTTGAGAATATATAAACAGTGTATAAATATACTTACTCTCATAACAAAATGTTTCTTAACGTAAAAGCATCCCCCAACAGATATGCCAATTGGACGTCTTCCAAATCTCTTCATAAAGTTCAAAATCTGAAAATATTTATAATAACAACATTACAATTTAATTCAAGTGTTTCAATTGAAGATATGTAAGCGACATCCTTTTCGTACATACTCTCAATTTCTGAATTACGGAAGCACAGACAGTAGAGAAAATGCTGACATTTATAAAATCTCCATAAAGCTGTAAACATAAGAGAAATAATTAGCAATATATTTGAACTTAGCATTACTAAGCATGCATTATTTAAAATGAATATGGACAATTATATAAACTAACTTTCTCTATCAGGCGTGAAGCGAAGTAAGCGAAAATGACAAAACCGAGAAAAAATACGTAGCATGTTATTCCAAGAAGTCTTCTTCCTCTCATTGTTGTAAATAAGACAGTATAAGTGAAGAAAGATATAATATAAACAAACATCGCATAAAGTAGTGGCAAAGAATATTCCCAAGCTTCATTCATCTGTACGAAACAATCTAAAATCTCCGTATGTTTTACGATTATTTCATCTAATAACAACGTATTACGGTTGGGACACTTGAGGATATCTCGTAAATCTATGTCCATGGCTCTCAATCTACCATAAAGTACTAAACCAACTGAAAATATTTGAGCCAGAATAAATACAACGATTATAAGTCCATGAATTGTTTCCCACGAGGCACCAATGGTGCAAATTAATGCTTCAAAGCCGGACCTATTTGCTCTTTGCGCACGAAAGACAGAAATATCTGAAGGAATAATTACAACCAAACAGATCAAGTATATTCCTAGAAATATAACGGTCGATAGCGTTTCAAAATACATCGACAAATTAATTTCTTCTTTATAAGTACTTTTCTTGTAGCAGAAATAAAGTTTCTTTCTTTTAAAAATGCTGAATTGAATAGCGCAATGAGCAAAGAACAAGAGGAATATTGTTTTGAGCATGTTCAGTTCTACAGTTTTCAAATTCTTTCCAAGAGCCAGTCCCCAATCTCCGCACATGATACTAGTATCAAGCATTTCTATAGGGGCTCTAATGATTAATATCCACCACCATACTTCTAGAGTATTTATGTATAGTTTATACAAAGTTCTTGAAATTCTTCCGTGTCGTTCCGAGCTGAAACTTTCTACACAATTGCAATTTTCAATTATTGTAAAACCGAAAACTTTGCAAGCTTGTAAACTTGGATACAGTAAGCAAACGGGGCATCCGTTATAGACGTGCACATTCATTTTTTCAGTTGTAAGTAATGAATCTGTCGAAGATTGGTTTCAAATCTGTAAAGTTCTTCACGAATTTTGCAATTTGGCAAATGGGTGATTACAGGACGTCACCTCTTTTACCAGTTTCAAGTGGAAAATGTGTAAGTGTATATATAAAGATAATGGGAAATCAATATAATTTATAATACACACGTGCTACTTAACGGAAGCATCCGAGTTATTAATAATTTATTTCATACTTCTTTATAAAACCACATCAATTTAAAGCTCGGATAATAACTAATATTTATGTCCCTACATCTAAAGTAGCTATTAAATCTCTAGAATAATTGACATTCCTTCGGCTTAAATTTATGATAAAAGCATTTAAAAGGAATAGTAAATTTATCTTACGTTCGATTCAAGAAAGTAAACTGTTTTATGAAATTTTAATGTCACAATTCAATTAAACCTTTTAATAATAATTATCGTAAATTTCTATCTGAAATTATATAAGATCATTAAGTACTGGAATCTCTTCAATGTAAAATTCATGCTAAGCATATTCTTTAGAATTTTAAAAGTTTAATGTGATTTATATTTTATATTGCACACGTGTATCTATACACGCTATTCCCTTTATCTCCCACCCCTTTTACTTTTAATTACCAAAATTTAACAGGATCAACCTTCCTAATAAACAAATCTACCTGCAAAATTTCACAAATTTTCGACAAAAGCACAGAAGTTATAAGACTTCAAATAAATCTAAAATTTCAAGAATGACATAATAACGTCAAAAGTCGAACTTTGACGTCACCATTCCTATTATATATATAGACCTCTATAGTATAAATATATATGCTAAAGTCGTCGAGTCGAGAATCAGCAAAGATCCAATCTATTCTTCTTGCTTCGTTTCCTCTTGGAGAATCTCTTTTGCCTTTTGTTTTTTGGACAAAGCAAATACTTAGGATGTTCGCATATTAATAACAAGAAGTCCTAAATATTTTATTACCTGTTAGTAAAAATAACGTTAACTGTAGAGGTAAAAATTAGTAGAATTTCTTCACTTTTGTTCGGTTCTGGTGGTTGTACCACTAGCTATTGTCGATGGCCCTTCATGAAGATGTAAATGAGGCACGAAACCTATTACTTGTATAATATAGACAACCGAATCGCCAATAACGGTTATTTCTGAACAAAGGCCATTTTTACTTTACAGTCTGTTATATATACTAAAGATCTAGGGATGGGGAAATAAAGGGGTTCGTGTGTATCTTCAGCATGGTCAGACATAATAACGATTTTACTCGTTATTAGCATATACATTTTTAAAAATTTCTTTTACAAAACCTATGCCTACCCTCAAAATTAAGCTTTTTACCATTTTATAATACATTAATCAAAAATATAAAAATCTTTAAAAATAAAATATGATAACAGATGGCGCCACCAAATTATGCTGGAAAAGTTAAGCAACTCGTTGCTCGTTCTTTTATATTCCTGTCAGTGACATTTGTTTATAGATTTGACTGTATATACTGCAGCTAACGATCCCCCTCTCCTTACCACCTACAACAAAATCAGCAAAACCACAATTAAGAACCTCCTCTGAAATAATAAACCAGACTCTAGTAGATTATTCCAGAGGAGGTTCTCAACCTTTTTTTATTAGCGTACCCCGTGACATGTCATTTCTCTATATTGTACCCCTAATTTAAGAAATTTAGTGAGTAACCGTATTGTTAATTTTACATATTATAACTTTAAATTAAAAGTAAATGAAAAAATGTATAATAAAGTTGTGATTGTTGCAAGGAACATATTTTACCTAATAATTTTTTAATACTATTAGTTTGTGATACATAATATATTATTTTTTCTGCCATAATAACTAACTTTTTTCTGTACCCCTAAACAACCTATCGCGTACCCCTAGGGGTACGCGTACCACAGGTTGGGAATCGCTGCANGTTCAGTGTGAGCCGTGTCCTTGTTTTTTCTCGCATAATTTTTTTATGTCAGGTTCGACTGATGCGAGGTATAATATCAAATCTGGAACTGCTTTCAGCTTACTGGGGTACTTATTTTTAATATATAGATAGGAAGAAAAAGCTCTTTCCACAAGCACAGTACTTGTAAATGGCAACAAAAACTGAAGTGCTTTATCAGAAAGTAGCTCAAATTCTTTGTTAATGTCTGCCCAAAAGTTAAAAAGACATTTTGATTTAAATTGGCATTTTAAAATCAAATTAGTTGAAATTTCGATCAAATTCTCTTTTTCCTTACTTAACAATTTAGCTACCTGAAAGTATTCCTCTTCAAATGGATTTAGAATCCAATAGCTTGTGTTGTCAGGTTTTGGAAAGTATTTCTGGAAATCCGATTTTAATCCTTGTAAATAGTCTGGTAAGAACTTCACCACGAGATAGCTATCTCTCTTTCGTATGAAGGAGCAATGTAGAATAAAGACTCATTACGTCGTCACATAGAGCTTTGAAAATTCTTGAGTTTTTAGGCCTCGATTTTATAAAATTAACCAATTGGACAGCTTCATCAAGAACAAGTTTCAATTCAGAAAGAAAGCTTTTAGAAGCTAAATTTTGTCTATGGATGCAGCAATGGCTCCAATTTACGTTCGGGGCTACTTTCATTACACGATTGCGAAAGACATAGATTTGGCACCATCGGTACATAATCCACATCAATACCCTTTTCTTTCACGTAAGAATCAATAGCATTAAAAACATCCTCACCTCTTGTGTGTTCTGACAAAGGATGACAAAGAATGGGTTTTCTTCAATTTTGTTATTGACCAAATATCTTGCTATAACAAGCAAGATAGCAAAATTGGCGACATCTGTCCTTTCGTCAACTTGAATAGCAAAAAATTTACTATTTTTAATTTGGTTTATTGTTGTCATTTCGACATCATCAGACATCTCCTGAATTCTTCGAGATATTGTATTGTTCGAAAGAGGAATGTTGTTCATTTTAAGTACTTGGTCTTCTCCGAGCATACAGCTAACAGCATCTTTTATACAGGGAAAAATCAAACTCTCAGCTATGGTATGATTTTTGCCACATTTAGCAATACGGTAACTAATACGGTAATTATCTTCAACGGCATTTTCGAGATTTTTGTCAGATGGCAGGATGTACGACTTCAAACTCGATTTACTCATATTTTGCTCCTTGTTTTTATAATTGGGATGCTTCATTTGTAAATGTCGTAGGAGTAAGGAAGGTTTCATGCAGCCATTAGATAAAACATCTCCACATACTACACATAGTGGTTTACAGCAGTTTTCATTTCCTATATAAGTAAATCCATATTTAATATATTCATTGCAATACTTTTAGTTTTTCTCTGTTTTCTGGACTTTTCCAGAAAGTGCTATTGTCTTGACAGGTATTTGCCAATTGAACCCTTTCCACATTATGTGTTAGCTCTATTTTGTTCCTCGTTCCAACCATTTATCCATATCTAATGATAAATCAACGGTAAAATTAACGTATCCAATTTCGAAATTTCTCTCCGTTGCGTGTCGCCCTGGGTTGAACTTTTGTCGATGGCTAACGAAAATTTCCCGTTTTTGAAAAAAATAATCATGGCTATTGTATCATCCGAAATTATTTTTTTTTTTGCATAAACAAAATAAATATATTAATAAATGTAAAACGAAAACAAATTATATTTCAGAATTAAAATTATTTAGATTTTTTTTAGTAAACGATTCGAAGAAGAATTAGGAAGAAAAAATTTCTTTTTACTTGCGTGATTGTGTCTTTCCCATGTTATTGAGTGAAGTTGACTTATTTATTAATATAAAACGGTCGGTTTTCCTTGTAACATATACTAGAAACCTGCAAAATATTAAATATAAACATGGAATTTTTAATAGTAAAGCAAAATATTCACTTAATAACTTAAGTTGGAAAATGGACATAATTTATGCATTCAGTATTATTAAGATATTAATTTATTATTAAACTGCAAAATATATTTTTAAAATCTTTGTACGTTTAACAATATAATATATATTTATACGTAGCAACCAGGAAAAAGGATTGAATATTTTTTTGTAGATAATATAAATGATGCTGTCCTTCGCCTTACGTTAAGGCTATCAACTCTGAAGTGATATAGTAATGTATATTATTATAGGATTGGATGAAAACTATGTAAATGTTATAATTTATGTTATAAAATCCAAGTTACTTACACTAGAAACAAATTCTCTTGATGGTATCATTCGAAGTTATTCAAGAAAATAAGAAATCGGTAAGTTTTAAGTAACTGTATATCAATCAGTATTTTTTTTTCTTTATTTTAAAAACAAGGAAAAAATTAAATTAATTTAATTTCGTCTAAATATAGAAGCAGCAATCATTTTAAATTTATCTTCGATATTAATAATATAAATGGGTGAAGACAATGTCAGGAAATTAATATGCTGCCCACCAATTTATGGGTTGAGGGAAAAAAGAGAGATCCTTAGTAATTTTTATAGTATCAATCAATCAATCAATCAAACAAACTTTTATTTGCATATAAGGCTATAGCCTGTTACAGGGGGTATTAGCTTTACAATTTCTTTTCTCTTCATTTCTATTGACGTGAATATTGTTTCTAGAAATTTACTTTCGTTTTCGTTTTCTTTCTTGATATAAAAGGACATGTTTCCTTTTTGGAGGATTCGTACCGTTTCTAAAAATCATAATTTCTGATTTACTTGGATTTATTTTAATTTTCAGGTTATCTAAATATTCCACTATTTGTTGTATTTTCCTACGTAAAGCTATTGAAGTAGGCGCCAGTATAACTATGTCGTCTGCATATGACAATGAGTGTACACTCATATTATCAATATATATTCAACCCTCTTCTCTTAAAAAAACAGTTATTTAAGTCAAATAGGTAAAAATTAAACAAATAAGGTGATAAGGGATCACACTGTAATAAACCTCTATTTGTATGAAAAGATTTCCAGTATATATTATTTTGTTTAATAATTACATCATATTTTCCATATAATTGGTCAATCATTTTTATAAAGTAGCTACTTGCATTGTATTTAATCAATTTCTTTTGTAGCAACTTAATGCTAATTGTGTCGAAAGCTTTTTTTAAGTCCAAAAACATTGCAAATACCTTCTGTCTCTTCTTTAGTAATTGTAACTGAATTGTTGCTAACAAAATGAAAAGAGCCATTTGTGTTCCGCCATTTTCTATAAAGGCATATTGAGTAGGATTGTTATATTTATTTGTCTCTATCCAATTTTTAAATTTCTCCACAAGTGTAGCTGTAAATATTTTCCTAAAACTTGACAGTAGTNTCCTGCTTTGTTCTTACACACACAAAAAAACACAAACACAAGGGCTATATTTATATACATAGGATCAGTGTCTTCTGTGGGAGAAATCCACAACATAAGTAACATAAAATTAAAAAGTATTAAAATTACATAGATCACAACAATAATAATAATTATTATTATATAAATTTTAAGTGAGTTTTAATGGTAGGTTAATTTTAAATTAAAAAAAAAAATTGACGAGGAAAGAAAAATAAAATTCTATAAATAATATTTTTACACAAAAGATATAGAATATATTTTTACTTTGAAAGGTATTGTTAAAAATACCCCCAAAAAAAACCTCTATTATAATGCTGCATATTGTCTGAAAACAATTTAAGGTATTGTTTTATATTGTTATACATAAAAATAATTAACTTTAATACTATATAAAGTATAAAATTTAAAGATAAATTTGACTCATATTTAAAAAAGGAAATGTTATTTTTACCTTGTAGAAAAATGTCAATCGATTGACATAACCTATATTTTATATACAATTGATTTTCCTTGTAAATGCGATAATTACTTGGCATATGATATTAAACAATAGCTAAGTATGTGTTTGATAATTATATACAACTTCTTATTAATTGCAGCCGAACCTGTAACAACGGCTACCTGTACAAACTAACCTCTGAACGACGGCCAGTGATTAAAAAATTTCACTTATTTTGAGGTTATTTCGATTAAAGGTGAACGTCGTAGGAATGTTATAAACAATTACGATCATAATTGATATTGGAAGTAGTATTTAATGTGTAATATTTAAGATAAAATTTATCCTGTTCCCTAAAATATTTACTAGTATTTTAATTGAATACTTCCGAAGGATAACAGCTATCTTTATAGAATAATTTTATATAAAAATAACATAGTAATACCTGTTAAGAATTATAATTAGTCACGTTCCTATATTTTATAACGATTGTTTTCGCGTGGTTTTCTTACAATGATTTAACGTTCAAGGAAAGAAATTAAACTCTAACTTTCCTCATATCATTTCTCTGATTGTTTTGTAATACGTAAAAGGAATGTAAATGCTACAACTTGCTTCGGGGTAAGACAAACGGACATTGTATATGTTAATGACGTTCAATCTTTCGTAGTAAACAAATCAAAACTGTGACATTGTTTAATACTTTTATATCTTAATCAATAACTGTGATAAAATTCTTTATTATAACGTGATTTAACAACATAAAACAAATTATATTTCCTATTTTTCTAATGGGTTATACGGGTTGAGGCTTCCTAAACAGGATTTTTAATTTAAAAATTTAAGTTTTTTAAGTTAATGTCTGCTATACCTGTCAACCTTTCCTCTTAAAGGTGAGCCAAGTCGAGTAGGACGAATATAAATTTCCAGTTTTATCCTTGATTATTTAAATTTAAAAAAAAACAACAATCGTATATGTAAATTTATAATATAACCTTGAGCTTTCACTTGTGGAAATACCTTATTTTTTTTAAAATAAATATTAAATGTATAAGTAAAAATTTAGTATATTATTTTATAATTTATAATATAAGAATTAATTTTTTTTAATAAAAAATTTCTTTATTATTTCAGCAATATCATGAAGCGCAATTACGTTAAGACGATGTTATCATTGGCCTTTCATAAAATTGGTCACAACATTGGCCGGTATCCACAGGTTTATATAACGTTAACAATACTGGCGACAGTTGTTCTTGGTTCGGGATTTTATAAAATAACAATAAAGAAGAATTACGAATATCTTTTTACCCGTAATGAATCAAGAGTTAAGATGGAGCGCCAGTATATAGAGAGCAAGTTCTCGATTGACATACCAACTGGTGAAGATATCTTCAGGGTGACAAGATATAAGGAATTCGGTTCTATTATCATCTTACCTAAAAATAAATCTTACATAGACAGATATGCAATGGACGACATTATGAAACTGGATAAAGTCGTGAGGAATATCAGTTTTTATTGGAAAAATCGTTTCGTTGGATTTCACGACCTCTTTCATAAATCGGTCGATAAGTACACCCGTGATATGATTTTATTTTTTAGAAAAAATATTAAAAAAATCGAAGAAGGAAGAGTCTCTATTAAGTAAGATATAAGTTAAATGAATTATTCTTCTATATAAATCCTTTTTTTTTATAAATGTTTATTTAAGTTTCGAGTTATAAAGTAGTAAAGAAAAGTCACTAAACTTTTAAAAAAATCAGTATTATTAATGAATTTTATTAATATATTTTGAAATATATCATAAATCTGGAAATATAGGAGTTAATTTGATATTTCTTTATTCTTTTAAACTTGTTTACAAATGATTGAGAAGTTGATAAAAAGTTTAGAAAACTGCATCCAGACTCCACAGCATCCTGTTTAGCTCTTCAGCATCTTCTCGCTTACTAAAAGTACCATTATTAGAATTCTAATAGTGAATGAATTAAATTATTATTTGAATTAATTCCTCCTTATTCAGTAAGGATAATCAAAGATCAACTGCTACAGTTCCAGATTTATGGAACACCCTGTATAAAGATATATTTAAACAACTTTTAACTATTAAATTTATTTAAATTACTGTTTTATTTTAACTCGAAACTAAATAGGTATAGTAAACTTTTATTTATTTTATTTTAAGATTAATTTTTTATTTTTATATTCATACAAAAATTGATGGGATTGCATGAGGAATTTGTAATGATTTTTTTTTTTTTAGATTTCCTATCGAAATCAAGAACTTTAGGCTGAATGCCTACGCTCTAAATCTTGGAGGTGTTAACACAACAGAAACGAGTTCGGTGAGAAAATTTAAGTCATTTCGACTGACTTACATGATGAGAAATGATAACGAAGAGGCGAATAGCTTCGGTGTAAAATGGGAAGAGAATTTTGTTAAAATTTTAAAAAACTTGCAATTTAATAGCATTGATTTTTACTTGATGACTTCGCAGACGTACGAAGACGAAGCGAATTTAAACACGTTACTGAGCATACCTTTATCATTTATATTTATGCCATTAACACTACTATTTGCAGTATTGTCTTGTGTTTCCTCTGATGTCATTACTAGCAAGCCATTAATAGGCATAGCAACGTGCATTAGTCCAGTATGCGGATGCATATCAGCTTCCGGATTGTTGTCGTGGTGCAATGTGGAATACGTCGACATTAATTTATGCATTAACTTCTTGATTTTAGGTAATAATTTTGGTATATTTATTATTATATTAAATAATTTTATTAACGTTAAAATATTTTATAAAGGTATCGGAATTAATGATTCATTTTCCCTGCTCGCTTCTTGGAAAAGAACAAACAGAGAAGATTCGGTACAGAAGAGAATGGCTGAGACGTATTCGTCAATTGGACCAGCCATTACTCTTGCTTCTTTAACAAATTTTTTAGTATTTTCTATTGGTGCGATTGCCCCTCACAAAATCGTTCAAATTTTCAGCTTATATAGCTTATTAGCGATATTATTAAATTATATTTATCAGATTTTTCTCTTTGGAGGATTTATGGCTATTGATGGATATAGAGAAAAACATAATCTACATTGTTTATTATTGACTTCTGTTAATAGAGAAATATCAGGTAGGTAAAATATTATTTCTTTCATTAAATAGTAAGAATAATCCGTCATCCTATTAAACACCTGAAATAGTTAAAAGAGTTCTGAAAATAGGCCAAAAAAACAAAATGTTTTCAGATACGAAAATATATTTATTACTTTTTAAAACTAATAATCTCAATTTTAATACAATTTCCTTAGCAATTTAGAAAATATTTTCGGAAATTTTCTTCCTTCAAAATCTTCTTCTTCTTCTTCAGAAATTGCATAAGAAAATACTGCATATTTATTTTTCATTTAGCAAATTTTCGTTACGGAAATCTGTGACGTTTTTGAATAACAATGCATAACTCCAACTTTACAGCTTAATAACGTTGAAGGTTGTGAAATTAGTATAGGAAAAGATGGTATTTATGGAACTCCATTTTCATTATAGTGAATTGTATACAAGGTAGTATAGCTATGCCCACATTTTTTGTGCGAAAAGTACTGGTAACTTTTAAACTAAATGTTCCTAATTGGATCTTCCGCTAGCATAACTATAAGTGTAGTTTTTTGAAGGCTTCTGTAAAACAAGTCAGAGAGTAGTTTTTGGGAAGCCGGGTGGTAATATGGAACCCCATTGTATGTTTTTAAAAAAATGCTTTAATGTATTTAAAAAATGTTCAAAAACAAATAGAAAAGTAAAAAAAAAGTTCAAAAGTTTGGAATTGTGAAATACACAAACGTCCTGTTTTACTGAGCTCAACCGCATAACTGAAGTGGGAGGCGTCCTCCCCTTGCTATGGGTGTCTGTCTAGTGCAGTTCAGCCACAGTTTGTTAGAGCTCACCTTTAATATCAATAGTGTTACGTTATTGTCGTACTATAATTTAATCGCTATTCCTGTTACTCCTGGAGATAAAATAGCTGATTATGTACAGTATAAATTACAGATAACAAGACAATTAAATTAGCTTTCCATTTATCGATAAGTAGATTATAAACGCGAATAAACTATAAATAAACAATGTATTTTTCTTCGAGTTTATATTTCATAAATAAAGATGATCATATTAGAAGAAAAACTGCCTACAAGAAGACTGAAAAGGACAGTTGTCATCATTTTTAGATAAGGTTGACCTTGACAAACGTATAGGTCAACCATATCTAAATAATGACAACCGTCAGCTTGACAAACGTAAAGCTGTCAGTGTATTATTAATAAATTTCCGAATCCTGTTAAGTTTATCGTTGTGAAAACAAACACCGCATGAATAAAATAACAATACTATCTATGATTGTGTTATTAATCTACACGTTGGGTGGAAAGTAATTAGGCATTGAGAAAGCGAAATACTTTTTACATTTCTAACGAAAAGATGATGAAAATTACTGGACATGTGCACAATAATGAGAGTATTAGACAGAAATATGGATATATACCTTAAAATTTATTGTAGACATTGGCGCTACTCACTAACGCCACGTTTTCCTCAGATCTTGACGTTGGTGATCGGTCACTCTATGTCCACAACCGAAACTGTAATCATTTTAGCTTGGAATGACTGTTTTTGATTAATACCAAATAGATTGTGGTACGACGTTCTGTTATCTCTGCACAGCAACCAATGATTTTCGCATCTTTTAGAGTTCAACGATTTACACTCGCTCCCAACACACAAGCAACTGGCCTTATTTTATTTACTGCGCGTGCGGCCTCTCTCTATCACTGAGAATTGAAAAAATGACGGCATCATAAATAATATACATCGATATATATAAAAAGAATAAATTTTGTTACGCTTACTTTAACATTACAAAAACTATCGCAATACTAAAATGCCTAGTTACTTTCCACCCAATTTGTATTTTACACGAATTAACGGCTGTAATAAATAAATTATGTTGAGTGATCAAAACACTAAATTGTGTTGTTCTTTAAATAAAGAAAGCTGTCATTTATTTTATTACATTCTTAATATACGTTATTTACGAAATTTAACGGATACCTTGAATCTTTTGTTACTTTTTAATAGATTTCAACATTAGCTTATGTTAGAGACTTGTCTCATCACAGTAACTTTTCATTTTTCCACACAAAGTGCTGTCTGCGTAAATACAGTATGGCTTAAAAACTATTATTATTGCTTACCTTTTAAAGTAATTTTGCCTATATTAAATATATCTAAATTATATAAGAAAAATTCGGGGGATTTCTGTATGTATAAATGTTATAGGTTATGTATGTGTGTTTGTGAGTGTCCTCTTTGAAGATTCATAACTCGTGTGCTTTTTGTCGAAATTTTGTGAAATTTTGCACAAAGGTTTACGTATCAGGGAGATTTATGCTTTTAAATTTTGGTAGTTATAGGTCAAAGGGGTGGGAAGATAAAGGGGGTTCGTGTGTCATATTTCGAGTAGGGTCGATTTTACTCGTTATTAGCATTTACTATTTTGTTTATAAATCTATCCTTACCCTCAAGTTTTTGCCATTTTATGATAATTAAAAAAATAAAAAGTTTTTAATGATATACAATAACAGTGCTGCTGAATTTTTTTAAAATGTTGCCAGGAAAGTTGAGCAACTCATCTATTTTAGTTTATTTTCAACAGAAAATAGTCATTGACTTCTGCCTGCATAAGAAGATAATTCAAGACAACAAATTTTTTGTAATGTTAACTCTAACATACCATTCACAGTTGAATATTAACCCTTTGCCACCTCCATCTTGTTTATGTTAATTTTGTAAACTGTCCGAAAGCAATATAGGTCAGTCAGGCGATATTATTTTAAAAATTCACCAAAAATCAGATTATCATTATATTCACATGAAAAAAATTATGTACATTTATTAACATCTTTAGTTTTAAATACAATATTTTTCAATACATTTTATTAAAAAAATTTACAAGAAAAAAAATAATATATATCAGAACTTACATTTAAACTTGATAATTCATAACTTTTTGTCAAAATTAACATTGTTTAGTTACCTAGTTTTTTGCTGGTAGTGAGCCAGAAAGACTTAAATATTGTTCTGTACAACTCTATATAAGATTTATTCATGTATGTTTATTCGTTGTGAAATTATTGCACATTATGTCAAACATTTGTTTCAAATCAAAACTTTATTATGCTATCAACTAATATAATGAACTGGTATACTTTATTCACTTCATTTCTGACAAGAATATAAATTTTTGTAATAAACATATGATTTAACAGTAGTAATACATATAACATTTGCTGATATTTTAGATAAAAATAAAAAATATATAAAATGTCAAAACTGAAGGTCACAACTTGAATATTTATAACACGTTGACTTAATATAGGTGAATAAACTTATTATAGCTTGAATGAAATTATTATAGTATTATTATTGCATGAATATGCTAAAAATAAAATAAAAAATTATCAGAAATAAATAAATTAAGAAAAAAAAGCGTTAATTAAAATTTAAGTCAACAAATATACCTGGAGAAAAATATGTGAAACAGACAATAGACAAGACAGTGCCGTCAAGTGCTGACATCTGTTGATAAATTTTATAAAAATCAATTTTTACTTGGGTAACGACTATTCGGTACCCCCAAAGTTTTGCTTAACAATGGGGGTACCGATATATTGGTACTTTCGGGTCAAAGGTTAAATGGTAAGTGGCCAACAAATCAAATTTTGTGCAAAATGGACCAAATATTTAAACTTTGCTTCCTTGAAAACTCTTAAAAACATATTTTGGCTTACTGATAATTTTCTTATTCAAATGCTATCCTCCTCCTGGTCAGATAAAGGGGAGCCTGTTGTGAGTGGGTTGAAGTTAATTTGATCAAAAGTAGTCATTGACTTCCTCCTGGATGAGAGAATGGTCTTTGAAAAGTTTTATTGTATTTGATCAATGTTGAAATGTATGAATATATTAGATTATGATGGCATTTATATTTAAAAACTTTTGTGTTTAAATTTTAACTGTTAATTGATGCAGCAATACAGGCTATAAATCTATGGCAAAACAATATGGTACTTTCAAAATTCAGAAATGAATAACAGGCATAAATAGGTTTAAAATGTGGTAAAAACCATTAAAACTGAAAATGACATAATATCAACAGTTTTTAATTAAAAGAATTTTTCTAATATTTTGTATTTGGTCTTATATTTTTGAAACAGTATGCTTTCAGATATTTTGTAAAAAAAATAATTTAATAAAATTTTGTGTGTTATTATAGTGATAAATATTGTATAATTTGAAATAATGGACATTATTATAATAGTAATCAAATAAATATTTCATTCATTTTTATGAAATTAAAAACTGAGAGGTGGTCTTATAATTATGTGACAGACTTACATGTACTTTACTAGCCAGACAACTGCAATTTGATAAGGAGGTAATTGCATGATCAGATGTCCCTAGATTGTTTGCCTTTACAAAAATGCAAAAACAAGGGCAGCAAGTTATATCCATATTGGACAAGGCTAGATCACCTACTCACAAATTAAAGTGAGCAGTACACATCCTTCTTGTCACCCACATAGAGAGCTACCAACTTAAAATTGTGATTTTGGTGTAAATGGTATAGGTTTAACACTGATGCTCACTAACTACTAAACCTTGGATTACCATTTTGGATTCAAATCTAGTGGATCTGCAAACATTTCATCCAATTGGAGGACAATGAAATTGTGAAGCAGTTTGGTAAGATGACTTCCAACAACAAATGTAATTTTACTATTGAATTAATCAATAGGAACACTAAAGAAACCACTAGTTGATTGTGAAATAGAAGATGATAAAATTTACACATATTGTTTAGATAATTCTGCCAAAATATCAATTTTGAATCCTGCAGATTATACTTTCTTGACAATTGTGAAACTGGCTTCATCCAGCTTGAGTATCTAATTTGTGCCTAACCACATGATTTTGACATTCAGTTTTTCTGTTATTCATGAACAGTGTCAAAATAAATAATGTATTTATTATTAGAAAAATATCAAACTACAAGAAACAGTCATTATAAAATATTGTTTTAATGTG